GGATGGAGGGGTGGATGAGGACGGAGGACTGGGGATGGTTGGAAGGACGGACGCGTAGCTGGGGAAGGATTGAGCAGTTGCTGAGCTGTGGCTCACATGCCCATGTCCAGCATTGTGCAGGGGGCAGCTCAGGGTGCTGGGCTGGCAGAGGTGCAGGAGCAGCTGAGCTGCTGGGCATGGGGAGCTTGCAGGGGGAGCCATCCTGTCTAGATTGGGCCCATTCCATCTCTGGCCAGTGGAGCAGGAGTTGAGCTGGGCAGCCAGGTGCCCCCAGCCACTAGGGGAAGCCAGCACATGCTGCTGGGACCTGCTGTAGCACAAGGTGCATTTGCGGAGGGGGATTCAGGAATGTGACCTGGCATCCCCAGGCAGGGCGGACTGACAGGGCAGAGTGAGGGGGCAGGGATGGCTTAGACGGGTTTCCACCCCCCACCCCTACAGGATGGAATTGCTGGGATGGGAGATGGAGCATGGAAAATGCCATCAATGCCCCTTCCTCCTCAGGCTCTGGCCCCCAGCACCAGCAGAGCTGAACTCCCCAGCTACACAACTGTAGGGGAAGCAGATTTGATGCCAGCTCCATCCTGGGCAGGGGGGCAGGGAGGCAGAGCAGGGTGCCGGGGGTGGGCTGTGGGGTGCTGATCGGGAGGATACACAGCTCATAGTGTTGCCTGGCATGAGATGGGCTTGGGAGCAGTGCACTTCCTTATTGGGCACTTGTACCCAGAAGGGCTAATTCCCTGCTAATTCCTAGAGCCTGGCTGGGCACTGCTGTGGGGAAGCTCACAGCACTGGAGTCCTTGGCTGGGCACTGCTGAGGGGAAGCTCACAGCACTGGACTCCCTGGCTGGGCACTGCTGTGGGGAAGTTCACAGAGCCAAGAGGCTCTCCCTCCCAGCAGGGAGCTCCATTCAGCAGCCTACCTCCCAGCAGGCACAGAGGGGGCTATGGCGGGTGAGGCCGTGACGCGGGCAGGGGATTAGCGGAGTGTGCTGCGATGGGAACTGTGTGAAATGCCAGGATTAATCCTTCATGCACAGGCCCCAGAGCTGCATTCCCCATCTGGCGCCTGCCCAGCATGGGTGTGTGTGTGTGTCTCCCGAATCCTCCCCCAACTCGCCCCCCTGCATGCACCCAACACGGGAACGTGCGTTGTGTGAGCGTCATGCTCAGATAGTCACAAAGGGGCATCGGAAATAGCAGAGAGGAGAATGGATGAGATGAGGATGTGTGGGGATTCATGGATGGATAGATACATAGAGAGGTGTCT